AGAGAAATTACTTTCCAAGTTTCTGGATCCCTATTAGAACCTCCATCAAAATCTTCACCAAAAGAGCTTGTTGAATCATTATTTTCCAACAGCTTCCATAGACAAATGACTCCATCTATTAAGTTTATAGATAGATTAGTATAAAGACAATTTTTGCACCAAGAATTCGACATTAACATACCATCTCCAGCAGAGGCCAACAACTCTCCTTTATGAGTTCATAAAAATTAATGCATATATTAATTTTTACATATAACACGTGTCAAATAAATTTTACGTACCGTTAGGCGAGAATCTGACTACATTAACGGGAGCAGTGTGTCGCTTTAGCATTGACAAATAAGCAACGTGTGGTAATGCTTTCTGGTTTTTGGCAAGTTTCCATATCTTTGAAAGAGAACAAAATTAATATTTTCAAAAACCTAAATTTAACATTTGTTCTTACCATAACATTGCAATCCAAACCCCCGGTTGCAAATCTGCCTGTTTTTCCTGATTGAAAGTGCACAGAATAAATAGCCAACGTGCTTTCATGCCAACGAATTTGTAAAGTTTTTGCTTTCATTGTTTAAGGTACGAACGATAATTGCAATAATTGACGCGTCCTAAGACGAGACTAATTATGTAATGAATAATCACATGTGAAGTTGTTAATTGGCCCTTTCACTAAGCCAATCCCAATTTATAACGTTAATTACATTGGATACAATTTACTTATTTAAAGGCAAAAATAAAAGTTGTTATATCAAGATTTTATTTTTAAATACGTGATAAAGAATTCTGCAGCAGAATTATCTCAAGGCTTAAAACTTGCATTTTAATAATTTTATTTGATTTATATATATCAAGATATACTGTATATTATAAAAGAAACAATATCTCTTATGTGTTAATACAATAAGTTAAATGCTAACTTGCCTATAGCATTATTTGACTAATATTGAAAAGAAAATTTAAAACAATATATTTTATTAAATGGTATTGAATGATTATGAATATCTATTTAATATTAAGAAAAGTAAAATTTGATAATAAAGATATTACCATATACCACTGTATACAATATCCAGGGGAAATATTTTACTAGAAGAGAGGTAGTATTAGTGGCAGGATATATCATTACTATAAAATTCAAAATATGTACTAGTCTTACTTATTATTATATTAATA